TTTCATTCATAGATTCATTATGAGATTACAGAAAAGAGAGCAAATATTATCTTCTTTGGCTTTTGATATTTAGTCATATTGTTTTCTCTACCAATCGTTCTTCACTCAATTTGGAGGTGATAAAACTTGAAGGCTTAAGCTAACTAGTTCATTCGGTTTGCATTTATTTTTTTTATAACTAATTTCGATATCCATTTACATATTTTTCCTGATTTGTATCAATTTATATCACATATCTTTAGAACTACGTATAAATTTAACTCTATCCATTTTTCGGGTTTGTGAGATAGTGGTTATAAATTGGCAAGAAAGTGGTCATTACTTTGGTGTAACTCATGAAACCACTGATACTATGATCTACCACTAATTACCCACTAAAGATTAAATTTTGTAACCACCAACCATATTCTATAACTTTATTATGCCACTATTTTGTTATTTATTTCATGGAAGAAATTCTATACCTATAAATAGTGGCGTTTCTTCCTTGTGTTTGGTATGAGAAAAATGTTGTGAGGTGCATGTAAAAAGTGTGGTTGATGTTAGTGAAAAAGAGTAAGAGAAGGAGAAAATATGAGTCTCCAACTTATTATCTACAAAAGAGAATATTATTTTTGTTGAAGGAAAGTGTTCATCTTGGTGGAGCTTTGGACTCAACAACTTGCCCAGAGTTTGTTCGAGTCATACGACATGATCGGGCTGTTGTATCCTGGGGGAGACAAGTCAAGAGGATTACTGCTGAACCAGTGAAGACTTTAATGCAGTGGGTTTGAATCTCCTCAAAGAGAGCGAGATATCCGCGCCTCAGTCTGAAGAATATTTATTTGATTTTCTTTATTTTAGTTTTCAACTGTAACTAATTATATTTTCACCAACAACCTCTAATTAAAAATAAGAGGATTACTTTTAATTCCACCATAATTTTTGGTGAAAATAGCACGGGCTAACCAAATTTCGGACTAGTAATGAAAAAATAATCAGTGTTTGCAAAGTCATTGAAAAATAGCCACTATTTTGCTGCAACACGGAAAGTTCCAGCATAATATACTGGAGATTGATGCGCCTGTGTATGAACTTCCAGCATATTATGCTGGAACTTCAGTACACGGAAAGTTCCAGCATAAATATACTGGAGATTGAAGCACCTGTATATGAACTTCTAGCATAATATCCTGGAACTCCAGCACACGAAAAGTTCCAGCACAATATACTGGAGATTGGAGCACATGTATATGAATTTCCAACATATTATGCTGGAACGCCAATATATTATGCCGGGACTCTAGTATATTATGCTGGAAGTTTACATGTAAAAAATTCAAACTCCAGTATATTATGCTGGAATACTTTCCGGATTTTGAACAGTATTTTTGTCCAGATTTATCTTTACATGAAAAGTGGCTAAATTTTGATTACTTTTGAAATTGTGACTATTTTTCAATTATCACTTGTAAATCTGGCTATTTTTGAATTTTCGCTAATTTTTGGCATAGTGATGAATAAACAAATAAAGGAAATCATCTAATGATTTACTACGGCCTACATTTACAATTATTTAGGCAACTTAGGTCATTTCGTGCAAAGAAAATAATCAGCATTTACTTTGTTAAACAATGGCAAAAGCAGAACCAGTTCATAAGCAAAGAATTAAAATATAATAAAAGCAATATGCATTATTGCTAGTTGTAGGCTATGAAATGCTTGGATTCCAAGTTCTAACTGAATATTTCACACTTTAATTTAATACTAATGACAATTAATGAATCAATTTCAAACTTGATTTTTGAGATCCAATGCTCACAGATCTACACCGACTAATGGGAAATAATTTATATAGTCAATGTTAGATTCGATTTTCTTACTTTTTTATTTATTTTTCTTATTTTGAGTATATTGTCCCTAAATTCTGGTCAATACATGTGTCAACTTGAGGTTGACAAACTCTGTCGGTCTTTTAATTATTTATTAATTACAATCAATTTTCCTTTTGTTATTTTTTGTTTTGGTCATATGGAAAGGTATTGACTTCAATCTCAAGCTTTACGTGTACACCTTTTATTACTATCGAAACTCATCTAACAGTTCTAAAAAGGATAATTACGAGTAAATCCTTATAATAGATATTAATCGTTCTTTGATAAAAATGTTAATAGACATGTTATAAAAGATTAAACTACATTGATAGTATTTATGCTGTCAAAACATATAACTTAAATTCAAAAAAGAAATAAATAAATATTTATTATTAAGAATATAAAACTTTGATTTAATTTTATTCGATCCAGTTTTTGCACGGCATCTAAGCAACATTAGCACTGAAGAAAAGTGAGTGCAGTCTTCTACTAATACTGAAATTACCATTTCTACTAAGCAACATTTCAGTATCATTCTACTAATACTGAAATTACCATTTCATATTTCATTTTTCGTAATTTCACTTTACCTGCTCAAACTTCAAAAAAAGGGATAAGCAGTGGCAAAACTAAAAATTTCATCAAGGGTGTTCAAATTTGAAAAAGTGAAAATTTTTTTACGACAAATTAAATGATGCTCCATATGTATTATATAACTCTAAAACGTAATAGTTTACTCATATATGCAATGTAATTTTTCAACGAATGATGATCAATTGACTACTCTTGTGACCATGTGACTTTGTCACGGGGACAAGGTAACACTAAAACTTTGTATACAAACAGTAATACAGTATGTTACTTGATCATAATTTGTTTTTTGCAAGTTTGAAGAAATTACGAGGACATCAAACTAGTCAACATACATAAGTTAATGTAACAATATGATGAAAAAGAAATACTTTCGTTTTAGTATTACCTATATATGATATGGGATTCTTTACTTCATCTTTCCTTTCTGTTACTGATAAAAGTGAAGAACTTTAATTTATTCCTACACTTGCTTCATCCTAGGTGCTAACTGCTAACATATTCTTGTAGTGTTTCACTTTAACAACAGATAACTACAAGTAATCAACTCATAAAAAGTAAAATTAGCAACTTGTAAAATAGGATAACTTGTAATAACATGCTAAATAATAGGGCAAATTTTTCTTCTACTGTTGCTTTATTAGTGTACATAAGTTGAATTTATTCTCATATATTTATTCCATAGATGAGCGGATCTACCAAGACTGGATACCGCTTCATCAAATTCTTTTATTAGATATTTAATATAGGTAATACTAAAACGAAAATATTAGGTATATATGATTTATAAATTTATTTATTTTTTCAAATGTTGACACCGGTTATAAAAGATTCTACGCAAGCTATTAATTTGATAGAGAGATCATTGTGTAATTACTAATTATGTACTCCTTCCGTCTCATATTTTCTGTTATGATTCTCTTGTACACGTCCCTTAAAAAAAATTAATTAGGATGAAATTTTGATTACTTTACCCTTATTCATGTCTTAACATTTAATCCTTCTTTATTAGTATTTGAACAAAATTAGGTGCTTGTAGTGTTCAAAGATAATTATTACTAAGGGTAAAAAAAAAATTAATTTTATCTTGAACCTCTAAAATGATTCTAAAATAATAAATAATTTGAGATAATATTATTAGTAACCACAATTAATAATATGAGACGGAAGTAGTACATGTTTTCTTTATATATACAACAAGAGGTACATAGTGGTCCTCCAATTGTTTGAACCAAAGTAAGATTTATTTTATTTTGAAAAATAAAATTTCCATGTGGAAATACGATGTTACATTTTGAATGGTCTTAAGTTAGCTTCACATTCCATGTTCCACGTTTCAAATGGAAAGATATATAGTGTACCCATCATTGCTGTCTCCTGTCTTAATCATATTTTGTTGTCATTATAATAACGTGGACGCACCTGATTGATCCGTTGCCATCGAAATTAATACAATTACTTAATTATTCATTGATTCCAATAACAATTACTTAATTATTCATTAGACACTGAAGTCTTCTCAATTTGCACAGTAGATTGTCTTTGCACTTTGGAAACAACCAATCAGAAACAAACACATATTTCTAGCATTTCTTTTAATTCCCCACTCGAAAGTCGAAACTCCACTTTGATATAATATTCTTTCCTGTTTCAATAACACGTCCTTCAACTTGACTATTTGGTGATGAAGAAAAAAACTTTACTGTTTGGTTTGCATTTTGGACGTCGATTTAACTTACTTATCGTGTTATTTTTATAAGATTTTACAGCTAAGATCTCCAAACAGTTTAACTCGTCTATATAGTGTGAAGGTTTTTCAATAATAAACTCATAACAATATGCAAAACTATTCATAACAAGCTTGAGAGGAATCTAAAAAAATTGACTAAATACTTGTAATTAGAGGTCAATGTACATTGGTTGTACAATTTTTTTATATATAGATAGTGTAAAGATTCTTTACCCTTCCAATGAATTTTAACATGTTATAAAATGTTAATTAGTATCACTCCCTTCCATCCTAATGAAGATGCTTGGTAAAATTTCCTCCGATATAGTTTGACTTATCATGAAATTTAATAAAAGAAAAAAAATTTTAAAACTTGTAATCTTAAATATACCATAACATTTGTGTGATTATAAAAATTTTATTTAGGATAAAATATGATATTTAAAATTAAATTATTTTTAAATACAGAAATATATCGTTCTATTTAAAATAGATTAATAAAAAAATAATGTCACATAAACTAAAATAAAATTAACACCATTTTTACCAAAATAACAATTAATGCTTATTATAAAAAGTTACACATAATTATCTTCTAGGCAACTCAAGTTTTTAAAAATATTTTTGACACAAAAAGCAAACAAAATAAAAATCAGACTACTATATAAAAAGTGGAGGTCACATATGTTAGAATTTCTCCCACCAAATTCCTACTTTCCTTTTCTCCTCTTATTATTCTCTACTTGTTGTTCATCTTCTTCTTTTGATTCCCACTTCCATTCATTAATTGCTTAATCTTTTTGACGTTTTCTTCTCTGATAACAATTATGTTGCCTTCTGAGAATACTTCCCCTAGAAAAACATTCAAAAAACTCAGAAATTCTTTCCATTTAATCAAATCCCAAGTTGGTTTTCATCACTGTAAATGGTTTTTCCTTATCATTCTAATCCAAATCTCTTTCATTCTTTTCCTCGCCGGAACTTCTCCTCCGGCGTCGCCACCCCAACAACAACAACAACAAAACTTCCAAATCCTAAAACCTCAACGGAACAAACACCAAAAACAGAGCAAGAACCCCATTAACGACCAGCACAAACAGTTAGTACAAGGTAAGGAACAACGTGAGAAGTGTGAATACGGTAGAGTTTACGTATACGATCTTCCAGCAAAGTTCAACAAAGATCTATTAAACAACTGCCATGATTTAGACCCGTGGAGTTCACGTTGTAACGCCGTTTCAAACGGCGGTCTAGGTCCAAAAGCAACTGGACTTGACTCAATCATACCCAAAAATCTCCTCTCCGCTTGGTATTGGACTGATATGTATTCAGCAGAGGTAATTTACCACGAAAGAATGTTGAATTACAAGTGCAGAACCTTGAACCCCAAAAATGCTACTGCTTTTTACATACCTTTTTATTCAGGACTTGCAATTGGTAAAATTTTATGGTTTACTACAGCAAAAGAACGAGATCGGCCTAGTGAAGAGATGTTACAATGGGTAAAAAATCAACCTTATTGGAAACAGAATAACGGGTCGGATCATTTTCTTATGCTGGGTAGATTAACTTGGGCTTTTAGAAGAAAAACTGATGATGATTCAGATTGGGGTACGAGTTTTCTCCGAATGCCACTAATGAAGAATGTTCTCCGTTTATCTATTGAAAAAAATCCATGGGATGATTTAGAGGTAAGTATTCCATATCCTACAGCTTTTCATCCTCGATTCGAATATGAAATTAAACAATGGCAAGATCTAGTGAGGTCGAGAAATCGTTCTAGTCATTTCTGTTTTGTTGGTGCTGTGAGAAAGAAAATCAAGAATGATTTTAGAGAAGTTTTAATGAATTATTGTAAGAACGAGACGAGTTCTTGCAAAGTGGTTGATTGTTCTGTAGCTCATTGTTATGACGGAGCACCAGCAATTTTAGAAGCATTTTTGGATTCGGATTTTTGTTTACAACCAAAAGGGGATGGATTTACGCGAAGATCACAGTTTGATTGTATGTTAGCAGGTTCAATACCTGTTTATTTTTGGGAAAATAGTTTTAAAACTCAATATGAATGGCATTTGCCTTTACCATATGAGAATTATTCAGTTTACATGGATCATAAACAAGTTAGAAATGATACTTCTATAGTTAGAAAAGTGCTTGATAAGTTTAGCAAAGAAGATGTGAGAAAAATGAGAGAGATTTTGATTAATGTTATGCCTAAGTATTTGTATGCAAGATCTAATCAAGGATTAGGGAGTAGTAATGATGCATTTGATATTGCAATTGAGGAAGTTTTGAGGAGATTTAAGCAGCAAAGGGAACAACAACAAATCTTGGAGAAAACAAGTAAAAAGGATCACCCGGTGCACTAAGCTCCCCTATGCGAAGGGTCCGGGAAGAGCCAGACCACAAGGGTCTATCATACGCCGCCTTATTCTATATTTATGCGAGAGACTGTTTTTACGGTCGGAACGAGTAAAACTGAAAATTCTATAGAATAAAGCAAGAATTGAAGGTACACTGCTCAATAGGACTTTGGAGTCCTCATTCTTTTTTTTCTTTTTTTCTTAAAGCAATTTTTTTTTAATCTTTATGAATTTCAAAGGGAGCAGCTGTTAGCTGAATAGGAAATTGTAGTGTTAGTAGATGAAGGTGGTAGCCACACCAAGTAGATCATCTCTACAACATATCATATACCTTTTTTTGTTCTCTGTAAATTTTCATAATTGATATAAATGTTACATGATACTTCTGTTCAATGTGCTTGTAATTTCAGAAGAAAAACATAATGAAAAGTGGGGATGGTATATTTTAGTAAGCTTTTGCTTAGTGTATTCAAATATTTTCAGCGAAGAGGAACTTGGAGCATCCTTTAAAGTTGTATTCTTGTGATCAAAAGTAACGGATTCGAGTCGTTACTTGTGTCAAGGTAGGTCACTTACACGCTTCAGTTACGACCCTTCTCCAGATTTTGTACGAACGAGTAATATTTCATGCACCTGCCGACTGTCATTTTTTCCCCCCAATATTTTCAGTCATTTTTCTTATTATTAATTTTGAGGCTAATAAATATTATGGGACAGCCAATTAGTTCCTTGCGTTGTTCAATAGATTTCTTCACCTTGTTTGGTCCTTTCTCTTCAAAAGATTTCATGTTTCTCAACTTTTTTCCCTTTTTTATTGAATGACCATTTCAGCGAAAAGCTAAAGAGTATGAAGTATGAACTTAGTTAATTTCTCTTTTCTTCTTTTGGTGATAAATATTAAATTATCTTACTATTCATCTTTTAGTTAAAAATAAACGTGCTTATAAGTAACTATCTTTTCCCCAAGGCAAAACAAAACAGAAAAAAAGATTTCAGGAATACAATCTTTTGCATATTTGGTTTGAAAACTTTTTACCTGATTTTGAGCCCGTTTGAATTGTCTTTATTAAGTACTTTTAAACCAAAATAACTTTTAAGCCATTTTGTAGTGTTTGATTAAAGTAAAAAAAAAAAGTACTTTTAAGTACTTGTTTTTAAGCTAAAATGACAAAAACAAGCCAAAAACTAAAATTCATAACTTATTGGTTATGCTTAAAAGTCAATTAAAAAAAGCCAATCCAAACAGGCTCTAATTAGAATTTTGATTAGTTAATCTTTTAACCAAAAACAGTGTGTAGTTAGGGTACAAAGGCATCTTTTTAGTAATAACTAGGTAAATTATCTTCAATTACTTATCTAAGTAAGTAGAAATAAAATAAGACTCTTTGAGTAAACTTATAAGCAGGTTTTGTTCTGGTTTAAGCTTAAAAAATAGTTATAAGCTAGTTTGATAGACTTTATAAGTTTACATAAACACCTTTTCACCAATAAATGTTGCCATAGTTGTGAGTTTTTTTTTTTTGTGGGGGGGGGGGGGGGGGGGGGGGGAGGATTGAATTTCATTTTGCTGTTCAAATTTAGGTAAAGTAAAACAACAAAAATTAGTTTATCAGCAGGATACCTTAAATTACGGAGTTGTAATTTGATGTTTTACAATATGGACTAATTTTCAACAACTTTGAAAGGTCAACAGACAACTTGCAAATTTTGTTGACCTCCCCACTTGATAGTAATACACCTTTTAACCCTGGCCCATGGCTTCCTTTTCTGATGTTAAAAATGTCATTAAGGAAAGAAGTAATTATTTAAAAATGATCCTCTGGGACCTCCACTGGTTCCTTAAAACGGTGAGTGATTCGAGTCCTGGATATGAAATTACTTTTGTTAGGAAGCTTAATATGGATTTTTCGGTTCAAATTCGAATTTAGTTGGATCGTAGTGAAGTTACTAGATACCGGAACAAAAAAAAAGTCAAATAAAATAATATGGAGTATTTTTTTTTCTTTTACTTTTCTCCATCCATTTTCAACTCGCACCACGGAAAACCTTCCCCTTTGTGGGAATACACTGATATGTTATTGTAATACCATTAAAAACCTATTTTACAAAGTTATAAGTAGTAAGTATGAGTAAATATTTTCTTTTTCAAGGTGAAGGCCAAACATATTAGTCAAGGGAAATTTGGCAAAACGATAGAGAGAGGAATTGATTAAATGTCGTATTGGAAGGAAAAGAACTTGCCAGCTGAGAGCAGCTCTTAACTTGAAAATGATTTATATAATGGCAAAGTTAATGGCTGAATTAATAAGAAAATAAATCTGAAGTTGTTTTCATTACCAGTTGTCATGTGCCACCAAAAGAAGATTGTATCGTTTTTGTCAAGTCCATCTGGATATTGGTTTCTCTTTTGTTTTAAATATATTTTAAATGTTTATATTTTATTTGGGGTTGGGGTTGGGTTGGTCTTTCTTTTTTCTTTTTTTTTTTAAATTTTAAATTTCCTACCATATCTCCTTTAGGTCTCAACTAATTCATAATCGTGCCGCGTTAGACCTATTAAAGGGGACGTGTTCCCTATCGGAATTTTTTTTTTTCATTCCTAAAGCTCAATCCAAGACCTTGAAATTCAAAAATAGCTAAATTTAGAGCGGTAATTGAAAAATAGCCACAATTTCAAAAGTAATCGAAATTTAGCAACTTTTCATGTAAAGATAAATCTGAACGAAAATACTGTTCAAAATCCAGAAAATATTCCAGCATAATATACTGTAGTTCGAATTTTTTACATGTGAACTTCGAGCATAATATACTAGAGTTCTAGCATAATATATTGGTCCATCATAATATGCTGTAAGTTCATACACATGTACTCTAATCTCCACTATATTATGCACCAATCTCTAGTATATTAGGCTGAAACTTTCCGTGTTGCAGCAAAATAGTGGCTATTTTTCAATAATTTATAAACAGTGGCTATTTTTCAATTACCAGTTCGAAAACTGGTTAGCCTGTGCTATTTTTACCTAGTTAAGAGGGAGAAATTTAACTCATCACACCATAAACTTTGATAGTGGGTTAGGTCCTAATTGAACATTTCAATAACTGAATAAAATTTTTAAGGACTAATACAAACTTTAAACTTGGTGGAATAAAATAATTATCCTCCTTTTTAGAAATAAAAAATATGACTACCTGAAAAGAGAATCTTGAGCTGGATTTTATTATAACTCAGTTCAATAACATGGTAAATATTACATGGGGCGTCCTATTTGGTCGCCCCTTTTTAACTTATACCCGTTTTATTTTTCCGTTTGCATCCATATTCATTTTTTTGTTAAAAGCATTTTAAAAAGATGATATTTCCCTTCTTTAATAAAAGACTATTGACAAACTGCAAGACAAAAGCTTAAGCATGTTTGGGTTGAAGTTTTAGCAAATAAACTAAGGACCCATTTGGCTATAGATTTTGCCAAAATAAACTTGGGTTTTATTTGGCAAACACATGTTTGGCAATAGATTTTGCCTACATTTTGGCCAAATCCCAAATCCCAAAAGCTGGTTTTGGGCCAAAATATCACTATTATATTTTTTAAAAATTGTCCCAAACTTTTGTATTTTATAAAAGAGCCAATCATTTATTATTTTGTAACGATGCTGCTTCGTCTTCTCGGTCATCTGATAGTGTATCATGTAGTTCATTATAAAAATGATAATTTTGTATCAAATTTATTTATGTTTAGGATTATGGTTTGCGATAATATAATGAATGTTATTGATAATGATATTGTTGGGTATTTGTGATAGTTTGTAGAACTTGTGGGTATAAGTCATGTTTTATGTTTTTCCAAACCAAACTTCACCCAAACACATATGTCCAAACACATTTTCATCTTCAAACAAAACTTCACCCAAATCAAATTTTTCAAAATAGTTTTAGGAATCTATAGCCAAACGCTAGCTAAAAAATTTCAGCTTGTTTAGACTGAAGTTTCGGATGAAACTCAGGACAAAATTGTAGATTGCGTTACAAAACTTCAGTATGTTTTGGTATGAAGTTTTAGCAAATGAACTAAATAACTTCAGCATGCATTAGTAAAAACTCATTAGAAAATTACATACTGCAAGACAAAAACTTAAGCATGTTTAGTCTGAAATTTTAGCAAATGAACTAAAAAATTTCAGCATGTTTAGTCTGAAATTTTAGCAAATGAACTAAAAAATTTCAGCATGTTTAGTCTGAAATTTTAGCAAATGAACTAAAAAATTTCAGCATGTTTAGTCTGAAATTTTAGCAAATGAACTAAAAAATTTCAGCATGTTTAGTCTGAAATTTTAGCAAATGAACTAAAAAATTTCAGCATGTTTAGTCTGAAATTTTAGCAAATGAACTAAAAAATTTCAGCATGTTTAGTCTGAAATTTTAGCAAATGAACTAAAAAATTTCAGCATGTTTAGTCTGAAATTTTAGCAAATGAACTAAAAAATTTCAGCATGTTTAGTCTGAAATTTTAGCAAATGAACTAAAAAATTTCAGCATGTTTAGTCTGAAATTTTAGCAAATGAACTAAATAACTTCAGCATGTTTAGACTGAAGTTTCAGATAAAATTCATGACAAAACTGTAGACTACAGGATAAATAACTTCAGCATGCATTAGCATGCAGTTTTAGCTTCAATGTGAAACAACTTCATACTATATTAGCATGAAGTTTTAGCTTCAACATGAAATAACTTCATGCTACATTAACATGAAGTTTTACCTTCAAGGTGAAACAACTTCATGCAAGTGTGATTCTGAAGATGAATATGGACAAGTTTCTGATTTTTTTTATAAAGTTGCTGAGAGGAGAGGAGGAGATCGTTTTATATCTTTTGTCAGGGGTATAATTGTCATATTATTACGGATTTTTTGTGAGATGGCTATCAAATCAATAATTTTAAAAAATAGGGTACAAGTTAAAAAGTGACACAAATATAGGGTACGACCGCAAATCCCCAATAAAATATTTTATCATGTGTATGAAGGTCTGCAAAATAAGTAGTACTATTATATCATGCGCTTAATAAGACGATTAAGATCTTCAAAATTTTCTTACTTATATTGAAAATTTATTTTGGATGACGCAAGCTAGGGGCCTAAAGCTTGGATCATTGAATAACTACAAAAAAAATTTCGAACTCTTTTGTTCAGATTGTATTTGTATTATAAAATTTATTAAAATTTATAAAAATATTAATATTAAAATTCAGTTATTAATACTTGAAGTTGTTATTTTAAAATTCAGAACCCATAAATTTGAAATTCTGACATTGTGAGTATAAGTTTTTGGGGGATAAACTAACTTGGGCTGCTATTCTAGTTAATTGTTCTAAATTTTATTTTATGTATATATATTAGATGTTAAATTCTCTTAGCTTATTCGTGTGTTTGCCTTTTTTATACTTGAATCCCCCCAAAAAATATTTTCTCCACTGCCCCAACCCGACCCCTTAAGGCAGCCCGATGGGATCGGTAGGATCGATCCATAGGGGTCGGGTTTGGCCCGACCCAAAACAGTTAACAAGCTTAATTGTGGCTACGAGGGTGAGGCTGAGTTAGAGCGGTGGCTAGGAGAGTAAGCATAGAAAAAGGTTCGATGTGTAGGTGTAAAGTATGGAAAACATTTGGTTCAAATTGTGCTTAATTTAGTGATAGTTGTCAAATAAGCAAGTGACGATTACATTAGAATTTAGTTGAAAATATTGAGCTAATAGAATACTCTCTCCGTTCCCGTTTTACTTGTTCACTACCGACTTTGCACATCCCTTAAAATAATAAATAAAGTGTATAATTTACCATGATATCCATATTAATTGATGCACCTTTTTAATAATTTGAGAAAATAATTTGAAATGACTAATTAATACTGTGGATATAACAGGTAAAAACAAATTGTCTTTCTCTTGATATATTAAAAGTGACAAGTAAAATTGAAAATCTATTTTTAGAATAATGAATAAGTAAAAGGAAACGGAGGAGGTACATGTGAGCCTTCGATCAAGTGGTCCTAATTAATTAAACGGCAAATGGTCAAATATACCCCTGTACTTTCGAAAATGGTCTAAGAATACCTCTCGTTATACTATTGGGTTATATATACCCTTCCCGTCATACTTTGGAACAAATATACCCTTATTTTGGATGAAGTGCCACGTGTCATCACCGGATGAAAACGACCCATTTCTTTTTTTTTACCCGATTCGTTTTAAAAAATCCACCACCCGACCCGTTTTAAAATTCAATTTTTTTAAAGCATATATTTTGTAAAAATTGGAATTTCTTTTTGTAAAAACTGAAAAAAAGGAATTTGCAAAATATATAATTTTAAGTCTTTTCAGTTTTTTTAAAGTATTTATTTTGTAAAAACTGAAAAAAATATTTTTTTTAAAAAATGCTTTAAAAACTGAAATATATATATTCTTTAAAAATTGAAAAAAAGAATTTGCAAAATATATATTTTTCAGTTTTTTAAAGTATTTTTTTGTAAAAACTGAAAGAAAAAAAAAGCTTTTGCAAAATATTTTTATTTTTTTAAAACTAATGCATATGTAGTCCACTGCTTTAGGAGCATCTTTTTTTTTCCAGTTTTTACAAAAACAATACTTGAAAAAAACTGAAAAGACGTAAGAATATATATTTTGCAAATTCTTTTTTTTTTCTTTAGTTTTTACAGAATATATATTTTTCAGTTTTAAAGCATTTTGATTTTTTTTTCCCAATTTTTACAAAAAAAATACTTTAAAAAAACTGAAAAGACTTAAAATATATATATTTTGCAAATTTCTTTTTTTTTTCTTTTTTTTTTTTCAGTTTTTACAAAAAACAATTCAAGTTTTTACAAAATATATGCTTTAAAAAAATCGAATTTTAAAACGGGTCGGGTGGTGAGTTTTTTAAAACGGATCGAGTAAAAAAAAGAAATGGGTCGTTTTCATCTGGTGCTGACATGTGACACTCAATCCAAAATAAAGATATATTTGTTCCAAAGTATGACGGAAATGGTATATATAGTCCAATAGTATAACAAGTGATATTGTTAGACCATTTTTGAAAGTACAAGGGTATATTTGACCGTTACCGTTAATTAAAATATTACTATAAGGATTGGTGGCAACTCAAAAGTGGTCCCAAACTTATTACTAGTAAAGTAATAAGGATTCTAGTAGCAACTTGAAATTTTCCATGTTTATAAAATGTGATGAAGACTTCTATCGAGTTGAATTAAATTTGTTGTATTTTTTACACTATTTATGTAATGCCATAGACTTACTTAGCTTATATATTTGTGTACTTGTAACATTTGTAGATATTTGCTAAGGTGCAGAAGAATTGCAGGGGAATTGAAGGGTAAAGAAGGTTATTTGCCTCGCCTACAAAATAAAAAGGAGCTTATTTTTACACAACTTTAAAACCGGTGATAAAGGTTAAAGTAGAAATGGCACTTATTTAAGAATTAATCAGTACCTCCTGAATTTTAGTTTTTCAATTTAATTTTTCGAGATAAAAATATTTTGACTTGTCCTGTTAATATTTTTAGTTTAAAATTTCAGGACAATAATATTGGCTAATATCTAAATAGAATCGCAAATTTTTAATTAACATATGTTCAACTCAACCCGTTCAAATATGAACGGATTGAGCAGATTATATTCTTATGGGCTAAATTTGACACCCTACATGTGATCTTAACTTCTATAATTCCTTATCCATAGAAACAAACAAATAAATAGTAGTAAATGGATAAAGAAGTGAAGCTGATAGCTATATATCCTTATCATTCTTGTAAAATACGTAGGAGAAACGAAATAATGTGTGGGACAATCCTTACTTGGCAATTGGCATAACCTTATCCACAATCATATATTATCTTTATCTAATTAGTACTATTTTATTAACATCAGTGCCAAAATCCAATCCTCAATCAAATGAACCAAATGGACAATCAAAAATATGAAGAAAGACCAATAATTTTGGCTATGAAAGGCCATCCAGGCACTGGAAAGAGCACATTAGCATACTCTATAGCTAAAACTCTCAAATGTCCAATTATAGACAAAGATCACTTCAAAAATTGCACCAAACCTCTTCAACATGTCCTCATGCAACCATCAAAACTCCTCAATGACCTATCATACGAAGCCACGTGGCAAGTCGCCTCGGCTCAGCTAGACTTGGGGCTCAGCGTGGTGATCGACTCGCCACTCTCTTGTCGAGCTCATCTTGACCGGCTCCTCGAGCTGGCTGATCGTAGCGGAGCTCGGGTCATTATCGTGGAGTGTAAGCCGAAAGATGAGGCCGAGTGGCGCAGGCGGCTCGAGCACAGGAGTGAGGTGGATGGCTCAAGCTGGCACAAGCCATCTAAATGGCAAGAAATGGAAAAGTTGTTGGAAGGATATGAAGGGTGTTGGGATTATGATATTGGTAATGTTCCAAGACTTATTGTGGATACTACAGCTGCTAAAGGGATTGAAGATATGGTTTCTTATGTGTTAGAATTTCTTGATACATGTGGTGATAAAAGAGTCAATGGTACTAGCATTTCACTAACTGAGAATTTAGAGTAAGCTGAATTTTGATATTTAAACAAGAATAGGTGAAAATCAAGGTTTATATTTCAAGATCAGCCGTTGTGTTTCTTTATTGTGTATGTTTGATCCAACAAGAAATAACACTTGGAGAGGACATTAAGTTAAAATGAGATGCTCTTCTTTTAATAGCTTAAATTCTTACACTAGATCACATGATTATAATAGAATGAATTGCTTGACGCATAGTGTCTGCATGCACACTTACCCGCCCCAAATCTTACTTATAATTTTACTGAATTGTTGTTATTGTATAGCGTCTATCGGAAACATGGGTAAGGCTACGTACATAGTATCCAAGGACCCCACTTGTGAAATTTTACTGGAATTTCTCAATCACCAACAAGTTTCTGCTTATGTGATTTAACACCATGTCTATGAAAGAAACAAGTGAAAAGAGCTAAAATACCCGTCTACTATGCGAAAAAGGATTATTTGGAGAGGTATAAATAATCCAATTTTCTGGAATCTACATGCAGGGGTCTTCAGAGAGCAAGGTCTTGAAATAAGTAAATTTCTGGAGAATACATGCTCTAAACTAAAGATCTCTTTTTAGTATATATCACCATAAACTAAACAATTTGCCAATTCACAATATGTAACATAGGAAAACAAGAAACAAAAATCATTCCTTTACCTACTTTTATTCCTCTTGCCCCCACCCCCACAATCAATCCCCTCCCCTATATACGTTACTACAATGTGATTACCTAAATTGTATGCAGATGTTACTTATACAATTTCTTATCTACAAACAAGCTAACAAAAGTAAAAACCAACAACAGGAAGAACAAGCAGATCAGTACTATAGTATATGGAGCTCCATCATGTAAAGCTCATGACCGGTGTTCAAGGCTAGCGATGTAGCTAAGGAGAGGAACTACTTCTTCCTAATCTTGTGGCTAACGCTAGTCTTTGGGGACGATGAAGAGGAGGAAGATGCAGAGAAGCCTTCCCAATACTTTTCAGCTTTGTCTTTGTTGAATGCCTTCATAACGTCATCCTTGAGTTCTGTGTATCGCATCTTCTTTAATCTTTGTTCCTCAGCGGTGCCTCTTTCTAACGTTAAGGAATCTAGCATGTCGTCCTCTAGTAATCTATCTAAAACCTCGGAGCAATTAGGGAAGAAACGTCGACCTGTATCCACTGCAATTTGGGTAAAAAAAACACAATATTGAGAAAGACTAATCATGGATAAAGCACCATTCCTACTATAAACGAAGATTGGTATGAACTATAAACATGCAAGAATATGTTCTATGGTCCAATGACTATCTTTTGAAATTTCAAAAGTTTAATCCTTCTTTTAGAAATTCTCCCTCCTCCTTTCCTTAAATAAGGTACCAAGAATGACAGAGTTACTATTACCTGTTTTTTGCAGTGCGCACAGCCGTTCTTGGAGTCTTTTCACTTGCTCAGATGGTAATTCATTCAAGTCAACCCCTCTCAGATTTCTAGATAAGCCATTTGTTGCTGAAATTCCAGTAAACTCCAGCGTCAAATGAGCATGTGCTTTTTCCATAGCCAGCTTGGCTTCATGAGGATATAACATTCGCGCCAATGCCACTGCAAGAAATTACAAATTAGGTACATTCAAATAATGTAACTGAGGAGAAGAGAATGGTGAGAGCCTAGATTACACCAACTAGACTTTTAACATTTTTATTACCCCATAATTGTATAAAGCGAGTGTTCTTTAGACAGATAAAACTTCAGTCTAAGGATAGCTGCTAACACAAACAACTATACTAAGCATGGGATTTGAAATAATTGGACAGCTCGGATAAGTGTATACATGTAAATACTCAATCACTAGAAGAGTTCACTTCAGATTATAATTGAACTAAGTTACCTCTATTTTCAAATAAAAGCAACCTCATGAGTAATTCATCAGCCAACACCAATGACGACGAAGACATGATCCCAACCATAGGATTCCTATTCGTCTCTCTCTCCAAAATATCAATGCATATGCGGTCCTTATTAGTTTCTTTCCCTTGCTTTGTTGGCTCATTATAATCCTTTGGCCGAGTCAATCTCCGACAGATAGATAGTGCTGTGTTTCCATCCCGTGTAGTATTCAAGAAAGATGCTCCTTTTTCAAGTAGTCCCATTATTATTGATGGCTCCTTTCTTCTAGCAGCAACGTGAAGGACGTTATATCCTCGGGAGTTCTGAAGATTGACATCAGCTAAATCCAGCTCGAGGACCTCATTCACAACCTTGGAGTTACAATAAGCAGCTGCATAATGAAGAGCACAAGCATCGTCTAAAGTGACATTAGACTCTTCAAGAAGTAACTTAAGTAATTCAATGTCATCGGATTCCAGAGCCTTCAGAATCCTCCTAATTCTTTTTTCACTTAAGGAGTCCACTTCTATTGAATCCTGTTCAAGTTCTTGTCGAGACTTGAGGCGCCTTGTTTTTATGTCAGTCAAAACTTCATGACGGAGTTCTTTCTCAAGAGTAGCATTGTCTAGATCGGATCGTGCCACTCTCTGGATGCAGTGCTCAAGAAGTTGATTAGACGAGCAGTGAAAGGCAACTAAAAGTATAGGAATCACATCCTCCGGACTAGCCTTATCGACGAAGTTGACAAGACGACGCTGCAGGTGAACAGAATATTCTTCAAATGAAAAACAACGTAACTACAAAGTTAGAAGCAATAGAAATCTTATAGAAAGCTTCTGTGATTTCTTATCTAGTATATTGCCACCATAAATTCAATAGCTAGGCCTTTCTTTATTGTATTATCAAGAAACATATATAGTAGTACTAGAATAACTTGGGACTCTACTAAGATATTGAGACGCTATCTTCGCGGCAAAGCATTAAAATCATAAACCTCGTACTAGCTGTCACATCCTACTTATTAATTCAGACCCTTTACAAGCATTCAAAAACATACACCTCATACTCGTATTTATTCATCAGACCCTAGGTCATCAGCATTTCAACAGAAATCCTTATACGAGACAAACATGAAAGAATGTCAAGAAACTGCGTCTAACTCAAGCATTTGATTTATATTCAGTATGCCTAACTGACTGTATCACAAGGATAGTTATTTAGTCAAACCTCTCTATAACAACATAGTTTGTTCTAACATTTTTTTGGCTTTTATACTGAATGATTGTTATATAAGGATCTTGTTATAGAGAGGTCTGACCGTATGGTAGTTCAAGAATGAGAGCCAAATGTATTTGGTATTTGTTATGCAAATAGAATTTAACCAGCAAAACAAACACTGACCTCTACGACCATAGCGAGTTCGTTGATTTGAAAGGTGGATGAAGCATACATTAGTTCCACGAAATAATTAATGGCAGGGCGACAAGCATCATGAGCACACACATTATCAACACAAGTCGAAACTTCTGGAGGAGAAGGCTTAATCTTTCCAGTATACAAATAATTCAGGAAAACCAAGAATACTTCATATCCAATTGAGGCAAAAGGCACCAAATCCTTCAGCAAATACTTGGGCTTTTCATCTTTTGAGGTATTCTCATTGTGCTTCTTCAACTTTTCGTGGAAAAACTGGCTTCGTGCAGCCAAAATACAGCGATTAACACCAACACTAATCCCCTCAACAACTATTTCTGCATCGCTGTAGTCATATTCAGGATTAAGCAGGAGCTTCTCAAGATTACCACTTAGATTAGTCAAAAGATCAAGATTTGGCCCTGGTTCTTGGGGGCTACTGCAACCGTTTGATACATAAGAAGACGAAGCAAAACTCAAGGATGACGAAAGCTCGTTGCCGCTCTCCATTTAGTCCAACTTAATCTTGGTAATTTACTAGCAAAAATTCATCCCTGAGAGAGGAAAAATATCACTAATAAGCCCGGCCATGATCAAACATTTATTGATTTCAGACTCCAAATCCTTGAATCCAAAAGAACCAGTCCACCTAAATAGTTAATTCTATTCCAAAATCATCATCCAAAGTAAAGTTTTAAGATAAAACAGAAACATATCAGCTCAAATGGACAAGGGATATGCTAAAAAGTCAATCTTTTTTCAGATTCCTAATATCTAGCTTTCACAACTTACTTAAAAAGCAGCTCCCCTTCTTCTTAACAATACCAAAAATTCAATCTTTGAGCTACCCACTTCCCCAAAGAGAGCAAATACCTCAAGAAATCAGGCAAAATTGGTAAAGTCAATAAGTCAACGCTATGTGATCTTAGCCCACAACCTCAGAAAACATGCTTGAACTGAATAGTTGAGAATGAGAGAATTGGAAATTTCACTGATTTTCAGCACCCCTTTCTTATTAACAATACCAAAAATTCAATCTTTGAGCTACCCACTTCCCCAAACAGAGCAAATACCTCAAGAAATCAGGCAAAATTGGTAAAGTCAATAAGTCAATGCTATGTGATCTTAGCCCACAACCTCAGAAAACATGCTTGAACTGAAGAGTTGAGAATGAGAGAATTGGAAATTTCACTGATTTTCAGAACCCCTTCTTAGTAACAACACACAAAATTCAATCTTTGAGATACCCACTTCCCCAAACAGAGCAAATACCTCAAGAAATCAGGCAAAATTGGTAAAGTCAATAAGTCAATGGTATGTGATCTTAGCCCACAACCTCAGAAAACATGCTTGAACTGAAGAGTTGAGAATGAGAGAATTGGAAATTTCACTGATTTTCAGAACCCCTTCTTAGTAACAACACACAAAATTCAATCTTTGAGATACCCACTTCCCCAAACAGAGAAAATACCTCAAGAAATCATGCAAAAAATGCTTAAGTCAATAAGTCAATGTTATGTGATCTTAGCCCACAACCTCAGAAAACATGCTTGAACTGAAGATTTGAGAATGAGAGAATTGGAAATTTCACTGATTTTCAGCACTCCTTTCTTATTAACAACACCAAAAATTCAATCTTTGAGCTACTCACTTCCCCAAAGAGAGCAAATACCTCAAGAAATCAGGCAAAATTGGTAAAGTCAATAAGTCAACGCTATGTGATCTTAGCCCACAACCTCAGAAAACATGCTTGAACTGAAGAGTTGAGAATGAGAGAATTGGAAATCACTGATTTTCAGCACCCCTTCTTAGTAACAACACAAAAAATTCAATCTTTGAGCTACCCACTTCCCCAAACAGAGAAAATACCTCAAGAAATCAGGCAAAAATTGCTTAAGTCAATAAGTCAATGTTATGTGATCTTAGCCCACAACCTCAGAAAACATGCTTGAACTGAAGAGTTGAGAATGAGAGAATTGGAAATTTCACTGATTTTCAGCACCCCTTTCTTATTAACAACACCAAAAATTCAATCTTTGAGCTACCCACTTCCCCAAACAGAGAAAATACTTCAAGAAATCAGGCAAAAATTGCTCAAGTCAATAGGTCAATGTTATGTGATCTTAGCCCATAATCTCAGAGAATATGCTTGAACTGAAGAGTTGAGAATATAAAAGAATTGGAAATTTCACTGATTTTCAGCACCTCTTTCTTATTAACAGCATCAAGAATCTACCTTTAAGCTACCCACTCTCCCCAAACAGGGAAAATACCTGAAGAAAAAGCATAATATATCTTCAGGAATCTGAAAAAATTGCTAAAGTCAACGCGTCAACGTTGCATGATCTTAGCCCAAAATCTCACACCTGCTTAAAAATTAAAAAAAGAATAATGACCCTCATTGCTTTATGTGAAAATCTGCTGGTGAAATCCCATCAATATGGAATAAATATGTAAAGAGAAAAAAGAAAGTGATTAATTTTCTTACCCAAATTTGTATTGTAATTTGTAGTCTAGTCTTGCTTAACCCCAAATAGTAGTCAAGAAGTGATTGCTGTGACTGAATATCAAGTACTAGTAATGATTTAAGTTGAAAAAAAGGGAAATGAAAATGAAAATGAAAAGGAATTCCCAGATGGAAACTACTATAAAAAGAGAGTGAAACTGAAAAGAATAACAGAGATATGGAAAGAGGAACAATAGTGAGTGGTCTGGTGCATGTATCAAGTTGTAATAGTATATGTTTACGGATACTTTTAATACCTAATACGTAATTCTATTACTTAATTATAAATAATTCTAATAGTACTATGTACTACTCCTACTACTTTCTTTATTTTGGTTTACTACTGTATTAAGTTAAACAAACCTGATTTGGTTTATAAACTACCCCTTACATTTCAGATTTTCTTTTTAATCTAGGAAGAAAAAAAGAAATGTTATAAATTTAAATTAATTCAATACTTAAATTATATCTTTAATGATAAATTTTAATAATCATTTAAATGTTATAACATATTTAATATTATAAGTTTCAAATGTATATAACCACACATATATTATATACTTGTATGTTTAATATTATTAAGTTTTAAAATTCTTCTTTTCTGTCGAGCACTTTTACCTGTTCAAAAAAAGAAAGTGTACATGTCTCTCCCGTATCCTCTTTAGATATGTCCTTAATATCTGGTAATTTTTTGTTCTCCACCTTTGAGTGTGCTTAGTATATAATCAAATTATGTCGAATAAATTAGAACTATAATTAGGACGCGATTGGTGGGCCCAAACCGTGTTCTTAGGGTTTGGGACGGTGGGGATAATTAAAGAGGAAATATTACTCCTTATTTATATAGAGAAAAAACAAGAACAATCTTTGACCGGACATTAGCATTTACTACTTGAAATATTCATATGCCCTTGCACATAACTACACTTTTAGACAGGCACACTAAGACAAACAACCCGTGCTCTTTCCTCTTTTTGAATTCCTTTATTTTCAAACGCGTCTTATATTTAATGGCGTAACCAAAAATTTCATTAAGTGTATTCAAACTTAAGACAAGTTAATAATTACTTTTGTCGATGAATGGTATGTCAATTTTTTTAAATCAAACTATGCAATATTTAGCTAAACAATAAAAAAAAATTTAATAGAACAATAATTTTATAAATCAAAATTAAAATAACAAAAAAAAAATAATATTAGAAATTTTACTAATAAAAGTAAACATAAAACTAAAGGAAAGAGAGCCGAGAGAATTTTTAGTTTTGTCACGACCCAAATCCATGTGACTGGCACTCGGCAATCTATCCGACCCGAGCGAACCAACCCGCATGATGCACCCAAAACATATGCATGAAGATTAATTTAACTGCAAAATCTCTTTGAAAATTTTATATAAGTTAAACCATGGAACAATTTTTCAATTCAAAATCATACATGGAGCCTCTCATAATCATAACAATGAGACTAAGTGAAATAATTATCTTTTCATGTATGTCGCATACAACCCCATTACTATAACTTTTCACAACTATCTATGGAGCCTCTATATCAAGGAATAGAACTACACTTGGGCTAATGCCCGACTAACATAAATTAAGAAAATAACATGATAGCTATCACGAAATAGGAGTGGTGCCTCACCTTATACCTCAGGGAGAGAGTCATCCTAGCACTATCTGCATGCCACATATCATACCTCATCCTGAAATATGTAAAGTAAGTGGGACCCTGGAGGGGGCCTCCTAAGGGCTGAGTACACCACATCGGTACTCAATAAGTTTTATAAACTCTCTCTAACTCAAGTTCCTGGGACAAGATTTTACAAAAACTATGCAACCAATGTTGGATATAAAGTGATAAACAATTATATAAACCATGCTCTTTATCATTTCAAATAAAAGACAAGTGAAATGTAAGCCATGCCATAAAGTTTTAGAATGTCTTTATCAACCCAAGATTTTAATAGAAATAACTATTTCAATCTCATTAAGTCATTGAAATCATTTTCGGCTCCTTAGGCCTAAACACAAGAAAATTCTCGTTTACCTTTCACCGAGAGTACTATACCGACACCGGCATAATGAACAACTACTAGGTGATCATCTTAGCAATAAGTATTTGACCCTACTTATCTAGGCGGCATCTCGTAGTGTCGTACGAGTCGACTTAACCTTATTACTTTAAGTAATGATCATCTGCCCCCTGGACTTTATCCCACAAATCCCGGCTTTACCTTGGAATGTGTCCCTACACCGGCACGTGTAGTTTCATGGTAACGAACTCAACATTCTAACCAATCTCGGTGGTCTCCACTAGTAACTCCCAAAATATTTGACATATAAAAAATAGACTCATAGCATAATTGCCTAAAATTATCTATTTTTATCAAATCATGATTTTCATAGCCAATCCAAACCATTTGAACAAAATCAAACGAATAACCTTTTTCATGTTAAAGCTTTTAGCAATTAACATCAATCTAAAGATACAACAAGTGATTCCTTTATTGAAATTTCAAAAGATAAACTTTTTCATGAAAACATATACTTAGCACTCAAGCATTTTGTACTCTTATCAACAAATAAGTTTTAATAAAACTTATAAGAATTTCGTTAAGTGTCATTTTGCCAACAAGTTTTGAAAATAAGATTTTTATAAAATTACATGACACTTCATAAGTAACAATTTAGAAACACATAGTGACACATTTCCCGCTTGTACCCACAAGTACATATGCACATTTATAAATAATACAATATATCAACTTAAGTCATGCTTTTAAAGAGAATCCCTCAAGAAGAGTAAGTCTTAATCAACTTACCTCAAACTTCAAACTCCAAAAATACTATAATTCTCCAATTGATTAAAATGTCCAAATATCTCTCACAATTCAATATCTACCATTAGATATCCCAACTACATCAAAACAAATACAAAAAGATTCATAAATATCCACTTAGACTTCACAATTCGGCAACAAACCTTCAACCATCCCAAATTATAAAAAGGCTCACCCGTTAGCCTATTCAATTCCATTCTTATGATTTAATACTCATTTGGAGTCATTAATAACACTACGTTAATTACCCAACATCATCAAGTCACTATTCATCATCTTCTCCAACAAAACTCTAGGTTCAAGAACATCCATTTTAAGAACTAGTGTTGAATCTTATTCAAATGGTGATTCCCAATTCAATTCGTTTATCAATTAAGTTATCAAGTCTATTGGAATCATTAGAAACTCAAAACAATTCTATTTACATCAATTCATCACTATATATCTTCTTCTTTACCCAAAATAGTATTTTCAAGACTCACCCTTAGGGTTCATACAATATCCTATTAGAACTTCAAATAAAACTCATAAACATGCTACTCATACTCCAATATGACATATATATATATAAAGTTCAAGTGAAGGGATTACCTCTTGGTGGAAGAATCTCACTTTTTCTGGTTTTGGTGCTCTTAAAGATTCAACCCATTTCCTATGAATTTGATCCATAATAATGTTAGTGTTATCACTAAATGATGTTATACAATCATCCTTGTACCAAAATAATTGTCACGACCCAAAATCCAACTAGCCGTGATGGCACCTAACCTCACCCGCTATGTAAACCAAATAACAACAATCCGATTCAATTAATATTTAACTGACTTTAATACACTCCCCAAGGACTGATAGTACAAATCATGAGCTTCTAAGATTAGAATTTACAAAGCTGGTATGAAATAAATACATCATCTGTTCGAAATGTACATAAACAGATTTTTATAAATCTAAGGCTACCATGAACAAGAGGCAGCTACAACCGGAACGCATGTCACGACCCGAAATTTCCACCTTCGGGACCGTGATGACGCCTAACATTTCACTTGCTAGGCAAGCCAACGTTAGAATAATCTTAACTATTTTTAAACAAATCAATTTAAATGGAAGTCAATTACTAAAATAAAGTGCGGAAGACCATAACTACCGAATCATCAAAATACATCCCCGAATCTGGTGTCACAAGTGCACGAGCTACTAGGATAATACAAATAATAGTTTGAATAAAATTCAAGATGTTTGAAAGATAATACACAACTAAGATAAGATAAAAGGGGGCTTCAGAACTGCAGACGATATGCAGTTATACCTCAAGTCTCCTCTGGGTAGCTGAATCCGAGCAAGTCTATGGTACGTCGCTGGGACCAACTCCAAAATCTGCACAAGAAGTACAGAGTGTAGTATGAGTACAACCGACCCCATGTACTCCGTAAGTATCGAGCCTAACCTCGACGAAGTAGTGACTAGGCTATGGCAAGACACGTACATAAACAACCTGTACAAGTATTGTCACGACCCGAAATTTTCCACCTACGGGACCGTGATGGCGCCTAACATTTCACTTGCTAGGCAAGCTAACGTTAGAGAATTATTAAACCAATTCCTTATTTCCATTCAGTAATTAATAATAATTAACTAAGATGAAATATAATAAGTGCGGAATATCATAAAATAATATTAATTACTACCACCCGGATCTGGAATCACAATTTACGAGCATTCTAGAATTTACTACAAGTAATAATCTGAAAGAAATATAACTGTCTGAATGAAAGAAAAAGTAGAACAGAAAAGATAGGCGGGGACTTCAAGGTCTGTGAATGCCGACAGATCTACCTTGAGTCTCCGAACAACGGACCAATAGCAAAATCTCGATCAACCCGAACCGGTATCAAAGTCTGCATAGAAAATGCAAAGTGCAGCATCAGTACAACCGACCCCATATACTGGTAAGTGTCGAGCCTGACCTCGGCTGACGAGGCTAGGACAGGACACCCACATATAACCTGAACAGTATAATCATGCTAGTAGCAACAACAGTAAATAAAGAAATAACGCAAAAATAATGGGAAAGAAACATACAATGAGGGAATACAACATAAAGAGTGAGAATAATGAAAAGACAGAATTAAACCAAAAATCCTTAAATGAATTGAGCAATTAAAACAGCAAGAAAAACTGCACGGCATCACCCTTCGTGTTTTTACTCTCAACCTCACCAAATAATAAATAAGACTGCACGACATCACCCTTCGTGCTTTTACTTTATTACTCACAATATAATTAATTCATGCACGGCATCACCCTTCGTGTTTTTACTCTCAACCTCACCAAATAATAAATAAGACTGCACGACATCACCCTTCGTGCTTTTACTTTATTA